CAAAGGAAATCCTCTTCCAACTGCAAACCCATTCTCTGACTGAGGAGACCAGTGCAGCTGTCAACCGACCAAGCTCTATAGATTTTCATATTAATCATGTGTGTGTTGTTGGTGGTGGTGAAAATGATGATGATGATGATGATGATGATGATGATGAGGAAAATGAAATAGATGTTTGTACTTGAGATGATAGAGGGAAAAGTTGACGACAATGATGATGATGATGAAGGTGACAGCAAGAGAAAGAACCACTGGACGCTTAAAAAGTGATGATTTTAACAATCTTATTTACTTGAAAAGGGGACCCGAAAAGAGATGGTGGTTGATGGTTGTTATGACATAATCATGTATTTGTCATTAAATAAAGGTGATGTCCAAAACTACCCCAAAACTGAGTTCGAATTGTTTGTAATATTCAGCTGAAAGCGCTAAAGAACTTTTTAGTGACTGATGACATTGGTAGGAAAATGTTCTTACACTGACAGTCACATTTCTCTGTCCCTGTGGTTTTATGCACCCCGCATAATTTAGCAAATTTGATCACTTTTTGCAGAACTTCTGATTATTTTCCGTTACCATTCTTTGTTAAAATTAACAGAATCGCATAATTTCACATTTTTTGGGCTCAGTTTGCATAATTTCAGAATTTTTCTTGCATAAAACGACGGGGACAGATTTTTTCTCTTCTCCCAATTGACTTAGGCCACACTCACATGGCCCTCACATTCACTTTCCTTTCTGTTCACACTCTATTGAAAATCTGTTGAGAAAACAGTGTGAAGAGAATGCACACACGCGGCAGATTCTTCTCACTTTCACTTCACTTTCACATTCACATTCACATTTTAAAGCAAGATGCACGCTTTGTCTGCGTTGGCCATGCAGTTGATGGTGTTGTGTTGGTTAAAAAAAGATACCAGAGGCGTCTTTTCGGTTGGTTGGAGGGCGTCACTGGTAGGTCCTTACTTCTTTATTTTCCCTCCGTTTTTTTCTGTGTCAGTATAACTTTTTCCAAGAAATAAATGACTATTACCGTGTTGCTGTGCTCCTCTTTACTCAAACGAAATTGTTTGTTTTAGTAGAGGTGTTACGGCGCTCGCAAATGCATAAGGTCATATGAGTGACAAGGGGTGGATGTCAACAGAGAAGTCCTTACAGGGAATCAGACTTACTCTGCTCACCACTCTTGCTTCAACAGCACAAAGTCTGCTACGACTATCAAGGCACCCCGGAAATACCGGGTCACAAGAGTGTGACAAACATATAAAAGAAGCTGAGGAAAAAATGACTTTAGTAAGGATTAGGAAATAAAAAAAAGCAGCCCCTTTTGCAGCTCAGGCACAGTTATGAGAATGACATTGATGAACCAGCCCATTTACAATTACAATTCTACTATGCATAAGAACTCGAGATGCTAATATCCTCTCCCCTTTGGGAATGTCCTAAAGACACTTTAGTCAGTA